ATTTGAAATAGAAAGAGTATTTTATTGCTTTTAAAATTAAATAAAGGGCCACATTTAATAATAATTATAATGCTGGCAGAAGCAGAATCAATCATCTCACAGGCTTTAATTTCTTCTTTGGGAAGCCAACCAAACAAGGAAACAAAGGGGATAGGACAGCAGATCGAATGAGGTGCTGGCGTTATGATGCATTTTATTTTATATTATCTTCATATTCTCGTCCTCTCTAGTTTTATTTATTTACTTGGGTAAGCATCTAATTTATTTACTTCTTTATTTTTATTTATAAATTATTTTTAATATATTTTATTTAAATTTAATTTTTTTAAATTTTTTTAACTTTTTCTTAAAATTTAATAAATTTTCACTTTTATTTTAATAAATATTTTTAAATTTTAATTTATTACTGATATTTTTATTCAAAGCATTTAATAATGATAAAAATATAAAAATGAGTACTGAAAATTAACAAGGAGTTAATAAATAAGATTAAATTTTTTTCTCTCTTTATCCTGTAAATAGAACTAAAGGAGTATAAGTCAAGTACTTTCAAATATATTTTTTCAAAAATAAAAAACACTTTAAGATAGTGTTTGAAATTTTTTTAGGATCAAGTATAATGACTAGAAATTTTGTAATATCATTTGAGAGAAATTTTTTAAAAGAAAATGAAATAATTTAATATTGCCTTCCAACTCATTCTTAGCCTATTATTTTTCTTGACCCCCTAATTTGGAGGTCAAGGCAAAATGACCAGATATAAATTGTATTATTATAAAAATACCCTCATCTTTTTCACTCCCCTTACTTTAAAACTGGAAAAACATAATTAATTCAAATTTATTAATTTTATAACAATTAAAATTAAAATTTTGATTGTCCATTCTTCTAATATAGTTCACTGTGTCTCTTCACGTCACTCCATTCCATTTCATTAGTAGTTGTTCCATTCCATCCTATAGTCTCAAACATATCCTAAAATTCATTAACTATGATCAAAATTTAATAAAATTTTAATTTTTATCTATTAAATATACACACACTTTAATAGTATACTTTTTCTTACCAATATTTAATAGAAGATAGAAAATAAATCTATAATAAAAAGTCAATAGCATACATGCCTTGTAAATAGAATAAAAAAAAATCATTCCCTTTCGTTTATAAATAGGAGGATAGAATAAGGTATATACATTATCTTTCATTTCTTTCTCCCGGGGGTATAATGGCATAAGAAAATTCAAGACCAATTAAAATGCGCCAACTCAAACAAATTGAATCTTATGTGTATCATTTCAATCAAGCTATTTTAATAATCCATTGAAAAAAAGTTGATCTGCTGTTCAAAAACAAAGGAAAAGGGAAAAAGAAAAACTTGGGGTGGGGTGATGGCAGGAACCAATTCAACACGTAAAACATTTCCCATTATGAATTTCTCTCTCTCTCCCTTGCCTTTCGCACAACGAAAGCCCCCTTCTTCATCAGGTTGGATAATATGAGGAAGCATTTGGAATTTATTTTCTCGGAACCACGTCAATGAGAGTAGAATGGAAGAGAGAGTAAGAAATTTTCTGAGCGAAGTTTCAATAATTCAACTTTGAAACTTGGGAGGGATAATTCATTGCCGGCGGATGCAAGTGGGGGAGACATAGTTCTAAATTAATTTATTCAAATTAGAATTATTTACATATATTGACAAGAAGATGGAGATCATATGACAAACCATAGGATTAAATTAATATATGAATTGATACGATGAGATTGGATAGCGTACAGAAGATTTGTTGCTTTCCTATTCTTAAAATTTTTATCATTGACCTAGTCCTTCTTTATAAAGGAGACACGCATCCATGCACGCACGCTAACTATGTTAATATTAAGTTTGAATTTAAGATCTCTTTTAAGAGAGAGAAGTAATGTTATCATTAGAATAATTGATCATTGACTTGTTGCTCTCGTATTCATAGTAGCTAAGAATTTCTTAATTTCAAAAATAATTTCTTAATTTAAATAAAAAGATAAAATAATTTTTTAGTTTTATTTTTTAATTTAAAAATATTTGCTTAAATAATAAGATGATTCATGCTTCTTTCTTTTGTAAGAATATAATTGGAAAGTTAAAATATTTTTAACAAATAAAACAACTTAATAAATAAATAAAACTGAGAGTATTTTAGCATCCTATAAAGTAAATAAAAGTTTTAATGCTTTTTAGTCAATGAAAGAACCTAAACTTTTTTCTTAAACTACGGAAAACATATCTTATTTTATAAGATACAGTGTGTGTTTAGTTTTTAATTTGTTAAAAGTTAGTTTGATGAAAGTTCATTTAGTAAAAATCAATTTAAGAAAAGTCAGTTGTTATAATAAAATTTGTATTTGAATATATTTTATTAAAAGTCAGTTTGACAAATTAAAAGTTGTTTGGATTAATAAAAATTTAGACTTTTAAAATGTACTTTTGAATATATAATAATTAAAAAGTACATTGATGTAACCATAAAATTTTTATTATACAATGTAATATATTAAAAATGTTAAAAATGTAAGGATAAAAATATAAAATTTAATATTGGAATAAATTATGTAATCATTTTACTATTTATGTATTTTATTTATTTATTATTTATTTATTTTACTATTTATGCATTTCATTTATTTATTTATTTATTGATTTTCAATCTATAAAACCTTTTCATTTTGAGTTGTTCCTCAGTGCTTTTTTTTTTTTTTAACCTTCCGTTAGATATTAATATTTTGGGTGTGTAGGTGAAAAAGTTTAGCATTTAAAAAAACCCAAGTCTGATAAAAAATGAGGAGCTCAAGTGAAGATGGAAATGAATTAGTGAAGACAGAGACGGTTGTACAATAAAAATGAGAAAATAATTGAAGGTATTATTGTCAAATGTAAAATTAGATACCAATCTGTATTACTTCATATTCACGTTTTCGTTTTAAAAGCTACCCAATGAAATTTTTAAAATTTTATATTTCAACTAAGTTGAAAAGTCATTTTAAAAATACATTTATTTTTATAAAATTATCCCAAATAATATTTTATATTTTAAAAATAAAAAGTTACTTTTGAAATGTAAAACCGTAATTACCCAAACCGTGTCATAATGTGTACGAGCATTTCAGCATCCCATAAAGTAGATTCACAATGGCTGTCCATGCTTATCCTTTCATTGGGATGGGGAGAAAAATATGAAAAAAAAAATTAAAAGAAAAAAAATTCTATTTTTAAAAATTTATCTTCTAATTATTTCTTTCCTTATTAGGCAAAATGTAAGTGAAAAATATAAAAAAAATTCTATTATACAATGTAATATATTAAAAATGTTAAAAATGTAAGGATAAAAATATAAAATTTAATATTGGAATAAATTATGTAATCATTTTACTATTTATGTATTTTATTTATTTATTATTTATTTATTTTACTATTTATGCATTTTATTTTTTTATTTATTTATTGATTTTCAATCTATAAAACCTTTTCATTTTGAGTTGTTCCCCAGTGCTTTTTTTTTTTTTTTTACCTTCCGTTAGATATTAATATTTTGGGTGTGTAGGTGAAAAAGTTTAGCATTTAAAAAAACCCAAGTCTGATAAAAAATGAGGAGCTCAAGTGAAGATGGAAATGAATTAGTGAAGATAGTACAATAAAAATGAGAAAATAATTGAAGGTATTATTGTCAAATGTAAAATTAGATACCAATCTGTATTACTTCATATTCACGTTTTCGTTTTAAAAGCTACCCAATGAAATTTTTAAAATTTTATATTTCAACTAAGTTGAAAAGTCATTTTAAAAAATACATTTATTTTTATAAAATTATCCCAAATAATATTTTATATTTTAAAAATAAAAAGTTACTTTTGAAATGTAAAACCGTAATTACCCAAACCGTGTCATAATGTGTACGGGCATTTCAGCATCCCATAAAGTAGATTCACAATGGCTGTCCATGCTTATCCTTTCATTGGGGTGGGGAGAAAAATATGAAAAAAAAATTAAAAGAAAAAAAATTCTATTTTTAAAAATTTATCTTCTAATTATTTCTTTCCTTATTAGGCAAAATGTAAGTGAAAAATATAAAAAAAAATTCTATTATACAATGTAATATATTAAAAATGTAAGGATAAAAATATAAAATTTAATATTGGAATAAATTATGTAATCATTTTACTATTTATGTATTTTATTTATTTATTATTTATTTATTTTACTATTTATGCATTTTATTTATTTATTTATTTATTGATTTTCAATCTATAAAACCTTTTCATTTTGAGTTGTTCCCCAGTGCTTTTTTTTTTTTTTTTTACCTTCCGTTAGATATTAATATTTTGGGTGTGTAGGTGAAAAAGTTTAGCATTTAAAAAAACCCAAGTCTGATAAAAAATGAGGAGCTCAAGTGAAGATGGAAATGAATTAGTGAAGATAGTACAATAAAAATGAGAAAATAATTGAAGGTATTATTGTCAAATGTAAAATTAGATATCCGACTCTAATGCTTCATATTTACATTTTCGTTTTAAAAGCTACTCAATGAAACTTTTAAAATTTTACATTTCACTTAGGTTGAAAAGTCATTTTAAAAAATACATTTATTTTTATAAAATTATCTCAAATAATATTTTATATTTTAAACGTAAAAAGTTATTTTTGAAATGTAAAACCGTAATTACCCAAACCGCGCCATAATGTGTACGAGCATTTCAGCATCCTATAAAGTAGATTCGCAATGGCTGTCTATTCTTATCCTTTCATTGGGGTGGGGAGAAAAATATGAAAAAAAAAAATTTAAAAGAAAAAAAATTCTATTTTTGAAAATTTATCTTCTAATTATTTCTTTCCTTATTAGGCAAAATGTAAGTGAATGCCAGCAAAATCTGATTCTGTCATCAAGTGGAGCAGTTGGATTGAATAATATAATAATATACAAAAGATGATTCCGCCTCATGTCAATATATAATATAAACCCATTTAACCTTCCAAGCAAACCCAGAGCTCCTTGACTCTCTCTGACTGTTTCCGCCATGTCCACACAGCACGAGAAACTTCACATAGCGCTGTTCCCATGGCTAGCCTTTGGCCACCTGATCCCCAACCTCGAGCTTGCTAAACTCTTAGCTCAAAAGGGTCACGTCGTCACCTTCATATCCACTCCAAGAAACATCCTTCGTCTTCCCAAACTGCCTCCACATTTGTCTCCCAACATCAATTTTCTCAAGCTTCCTCTTCCTCAAGTCCCCAATCTCCCAGACGACGCAGAAGCCACCAGTGATGTTCCCTACAACGTAGTTCAATACCTTAAATTAGCATACGATACTTTGCAACAACCTTTGACTTGCTTCCTTGAATCTTCAAACCCCGATTGGATATTCTACGATTTCGTTCCTTATTGGGTTGGATCCATCGCTTCCAAGCTCGGTATCAAGAGCGCGTATTTCAGTATATTTAATGCTTCATTGCTTGGTTTCCTCGGGCCAGCTCCGGTTTTGATGGGCCAAGAGTCGGTCCGGACGAAGCCCGAAGACTTCACCATCAAGCCCTCCTGGGTTCCGTTTTCCTCCACCGTGGCATGGCGTTACTTCGAGATCATCAAAATCTCAGACGGCATCAAACACAATGACTCGGGTGTTTCAGATTTGTATCGGTTCGGTGCCAGTATCGAAAACTGCGATATCGTGGTCATTCGGAGCTGTTCCGAATTCGAACCCGAGTGGCTTCGAGTACTTGAAGAGATCCACCGGAAACCGATCCTCCCCGTCGGCCAACTTCCTAACACCAACCAAAACAGCGACGCCGAGGACAAGAACGACATGTGGCGGCTGATTAAAGATTGGTTGGACCAGAAAGACAAAGGTACAGTGGTCTACGTGGCTTTCGGGAGTGAGGCGAAACCGAGTCAAGCAGAGGTGAACGAGATAGCGCTTGGCCTGGAGAAGTCGGAGCTACCATTTTGCTGGGCTTTGAGGACCCGGAGGGGACCAACTGACACGGAGGTTTTGAGGTTACCGGAAGGGTTCGAAGAGCGAACGAAAGGTCGCGGGTTGGTTTGCACCGGTTGGGCTCCACAGTTGAATATCTTGGGTCATGACTCGGTGGGTGGATTCTTGACTCACTCGGGCTGGTCGTCTGTTGTGGAGGCGGTTCAGGAGGAGAAACCCCTTGTGCTACTAACGTTCTTAGCGGATCAAGGGATCAACGCTAGGGTTTTGGAGGAGAAGAAGATGGGATATTCGATTCCCAGGGACGAGCGAGACGGCTCTTTCACTAGTGATTCCGTCGCCAACTCATTGAGACTCGTGATGGTGCAACCCCAGGGAAGGGTCTATCGAGAAAATATAAAAGAGATGAAGGACTTGTTTGTGAACAAAGAGAGGCAGGATCAGAGCGTAGATGGTTTACTCGATTATCTCAAAGCCCACAGGAAGTCAGGAACCCATAACATGAATTGTTATTGATGTTCTCAAAAGTCAAAATCGATGGAACTTTTAAGATTAAAGGTACAAAAAGTGTACTCAATATTTTTAATCAGGTCTATCCATGTTCTAAAATAGTTTTTTGGCGCAATTCTACTTCAATGTTTTTCATTTAAGTACAATGTTAATCTACCATTATCTTAGATCCTGTTCACTGTTAGTTTAACCATTAATTTCAATCTGGCAGCTTTGGTGACATTTTTTGTAAAATTAAAAACGAAAAAAAAAAAAAAGAAAAGAACCAGACCCAACCTTTCGTCTTCTCCGATCATCTTCTTCACTTTTTCTTTCCCCTTCCCCTTCTCCTATCGAGCCAGACCGGCTTCCTTTCCCTTTCCTTGTCTTCACTGGCCTTCTCCTTCCTCCTCTTCTCCAATCGAACCAATCCCCCTTCTCCTTCATCATCTTCTCTAATTGATCTGATCGAACCAAACCCCTTTCCCCTTCGTTGCCTTCTCTTTCCTCCTTGTCTGCAGATCAGATTTGCCATCTTGATAAGGCCCTCGAGACTAGAACCATGTTTGATGCTGAGACGGTGGAGATATTGCCTTCGATCCAAGAGGCTGCCATCGAGATCTACCCTTGTAGCTGAAGCCATTACCTTCAGTCAAGAGTGGGCAGTTATGCGTGTGGTGATGGAATCGGAGGCTTATGTTTGTGTGGTCTTGATCGGAGACTCGGGCAAGTGTAGTATCCTGGTTCATGGCTTCGGATTCGTGTTTGTGTGGCCAATGCTTTTCAGCTTTGTGTTTTGATCCGATTCTCGAACTCACTACCTTACCTTCTCAAAGCGGCGCTGATCGGAGACTCATGCATCGGTAAATCCAACTTCCTCTCTTGATTCACTTGAAACAAGTTCGGCCTCAAGTCTAGGTCCACTACTGCGGTTGATTCAAAGGTTTGATTGCGAAGTTCCTTTGATTCTTCTTCTTCAACAACGATGATTTTGGGTTGGAAGGTCTGGGTTTGAGAATTGATTTTGGGTATTTCATCTTCTTTGGATATTAATTTTGATTTTTGTTTATTTCGTTGTAAAATGTGGAGCTTGCTGGATTGTTATTGTGCCATAATGGACCTAGAATTTTTGTGTAAATGCCGGAATGGTGATTTTGGTTTGTTAGAATTCTTGCCTATGGAGCTCATGGCTTGCTGGTTGCACTCTTGCAGTAACAAGAAGAAGAACGGTTAAGGAGGGAGAAGAGGTATTGATTTGTCGTATTGGGTGAATTTTTTTCTTTTTCTTTTTATTTTTTAACTATCAAAACATCCCATGTGGGCTGTGCCTACTGACATGACAAGTTCAGAATAGCATAAAATGATTAAAATTTCAAAAATAACAATCAAATCAGTCAAAAGGTAATGGTAAAGTGGCAATGTACCTAAATAAATGAAAAATGATGGAATATTGTGGTAAAAAAATATTTTAAGATACATGGTGCATTTGGAGGAAAACATAGAGGGCAACTTTTGTATTTTATCCTAATTTTTAATATAATAATTAAATAAAAATAATATTTATATATGTTTATATATATATAAACAAAAAACTAGTGACAGCGCTATTCTCAATTCATATTTGTCAAGTTATAATATATTAAATTTCAATTTTTTTCACTTTTTTATGAATTTAAAATCCAGTTTATTCTCAATGAGACTTATGATAGTGCCGGTCGTGAAAATATAAAAGGGACGAAGGACTTGTTTGTGTTTGCGAACAAAGAGAAACAGGACCGGTACGTAGATGGTTTGCTCCATTATCTCAAATCCCAAAGGCCACAGGAACCCATAACATGGATTTGTTATGGATGTTGTGAAATGTGAAGGAACCCGTTACATGGACTTGTTATCGATGTCGTGTAGACGGACGGTAGTTTATATCATAATAATTAAATAAAAATAATATTTATATGGATTCATATATATATATATATATATATATATAAGCATAAAAAATAATGACAGTGCTATTTTCAGTTCAGATTTGTGAGGTCATAATATATTAAATTTCAATTTTTCAATTTTTCATTGGTTTAAAAGATAGTTTATACTATTTTTTTTAATATTATAAGATACTTTATAATCAAATTACATTTTAAATGAGTTATAGTTAATCAATCAATCAACAACATTATACAAATCGCGTAGAATCAATTTCATTGGTCCAAAAATGCTTCAATCTCATTGGTCAGTCTACCTTGGTTATATTTTAATTATCCTTTCTTATTAGTCTATTCCATTTTCAAATAACTGATTTATACATTTCCATCCAACTTCAATTTTCAGGTGTGAATGATTTCATTTGGCCGTGATTTCAAATTTTGAATGAAGATACAGAAATTTTCGGGCTCATTAATTGTGATCACATTTCTCTATTATAACTGTTGACCCCATTCACTTCCCAGCGGTGTTTCATCAATCTTCTCCATTCTCCATCGTCTGTTCTATCGTTTTGAAATCCTTGGTGATGCTGAGTCCGAAAGGAAAGAGAAGAAAGGTGGTGGTCAATTATCCTCTGCGCTTGTCGCCATCTGTCTTTCTCATCATAATCCGTACAGTTGTTGTTCTTATGGTGGTGGTCAATGAACTAAGAACAAACCCTACATTCCTTGCATTTTGTCATTTTCTTAACCATGTTTCCGTAACACAAACATTCTCAACTCTTGAAAATTTGTATGATTTGAAAACGGCGAAACTCGCAGGATTTTGAAGATGGACTCTGGTATCAAATGTTCTCAACTCTTGATTCTACTATGATCAACATTCAAATTTTCAAGGCCGTCTTTAGAATCATTTGCCCTTTCGGGCACCACAAATTTGTAGCTGCAGACAATCTAAACAGGTATTGGTGTGAACAAATTGTGCAGGAACCATTAGTTTTGTTACAAGGGAAGGCATCGAAGACCATCATTACAAAGACAATTATTCATGAGATTAGAGAGTTACTTGCTAAAGATGGGTCTGTTTATTTTGAGTGGCATTATAAAGAAAACATTAGGAGACCTAAATGTTTATCTGATATTTTTTGCTCCTTTGATAAAATCCCGCACTGCTGGCTTCTAATGGTGGGAAATTGATGAAATGATTGTATATGTTTTTTATTTTGTTTGCAGTACCTTTTGTAATAAGGGTTGTATGAACAGTTGGAACAATACATGTGTATTCTTTTTTATTGAAGGAGTATAGGTTCATTATTTTCCTCGTATTCTATTCTGGAAGGGTATCTTATATTTACTTCCATGTAGTGACGGTGTATTTCTAATATAGCGTTTGAGATTTTCACAATTTAATCATTTTTTTAGATCTCATCATTGTAGTATTACCGAGGGAACGGGGAATACTACTTGCTCCTATTAAAATATTATGTGTAAAAAAGTTATTTCAAATTATCTCAATAACATACAATTTCTAAAGCAATAAATATAATAATGTTTAATAACACTATTAACTATTAACAATATTATTACATTCATAAGAAATTTTTGCACGAACTTAGTATACCATATCATTTATGATTTGTTCAATAAAAACATGCCATATAGGTTTTTTATAAACAAAATTATACCTGTTTTTTTAAAAAAAAAATTGCAGTAGGGGGGCCATAGCCTTTACTTGCACCTTGTAAATTCGTGATTGCTTGCTCCTGTTAAAGAGAAAGTCTAATCTAGATTGAGTAAGCCATGTTATTTGTGATATGTCTAATAAAAATATAATATTTAGATGACATTAAATATAAATTAATTATGATATTAATAAAAATAAAAAGAGAAATAAAAGAAATTAAATATGCATTATGTTATAAGAGTAAAATCAATTAAAATAATATTACATAAGATTTTATATAAATGATTTGGGACATTCTAATTCAATTAACCATAAATAACATGATATGCTTTGTCTATCTAAGAATTTTTTCTTATTAAAATATTAATGTGTAAAAAATTTATTTCAAATTATTCAATAACCTACAACTTCTGAAACAATAGATATCATGAAGTTTAATAATACTCTATTAACCACTATCAACATTATTACACCAACTACTACAAAAAAAATGATAGTTATTTTTACTTATATATGACGGGCATAAATCATCATATATAAGTTTGTCATTTCCTCCTACCCCCTTTAAATGACGGGTATTTAATTGTCATTTATATTATACAATATATCACGATTATTAACCCTGTTGTATAAACAAGAACCATTTGAATTGAATATGACAATATATGAAAGACCAAATATGAAGGTTATCATAAATAATCGTCATATTTGCTTCTATTTTTTTTTTATAAATAAGGGGCTACTTTAATGCATGTTGTTATAGCATATAAAAATTGTTTTTATAACCACTATTTTCAACATATCCAGACAATAATACAATTAAATTAGGATAGAAATTAATAGCAAAATTTTATAAATATAACTTATTCTAAATTATCATTTCTCTCAACTCAAAAAACATAGAAGATAGAGCTACATACATTATAACAAAGAGAAATTGGCGCCCAGAGAATTAATTGATGGTGCGAGCTATAAAATTGGGAGCATATTATGAAACTATAAAACTTTGACCATCAATGAACATTATCACCATAAGACAATTAAAAGGTAAAATGATTTTGAAAGGTTCAAAATAAGCCCAAGGATGATTTTATTTGCTTCTCATACTGTTACACTCAGCCACAAAGCAGAACATAGATATTGAATGGTGACAGGATTTGAAACCCACCTTGCTGAAGCAGAGATGCAATAGTGATAGGTAATGAGTGGTATTGGAACCCATCCTCACAAAAACATAGGTAGCCGCTTTCCAGTCAACTTCTTGCTCTTCATGCTTCTCGAGTTCGTCCACTATCCATGATGCTATACCAATCTTCTATCATTACCACGAGCTCTGTTCGTCTGTAGATTCGCTCATAATTGTGCTAGATCTGTCCAAACTAAATCTCAACTATATGACTCCACCACTATTTTGAACTAGATCTGTCCACCGTTCATCCGCCCCACCCGAAACTCCACCTTGCGTTGTGCTGGTCTTCATCGTAGGTCTTAACTTGGGTTGCTTGTCATGTGTCTTGCACAGATCTCAACTGATGTGCGTTGAGCGTCGACCTTCTCAAGCTTTAGAGAGTTCCCTTGCAATTGGCCTATTGATGATGACTCAAACGACAGCAATGAAGGCGTAGAGGTTGAAGTTCAAGAGTTGGGAGCTAAAGAGGACTCAAAATCTATAAATGAGATGCTAGAGCACCAAATTTTCTTAAATGACGGGTGTTGGCAATTCCCCGTCATATATCTAACTATTATTATATTATATTATTTTTTAAATATTTTAAAGCATCATATTACAGATATTATATTATTATATTTTATTTTAAAAAAATATTAAAATTTAAAGCATTATATGATGGGTTTTTAAACAACCGTCATATATGATAATATATATATGATGGGTATTTTAAATACCCATAATATATTTATTAACTATCACCCGCTTTGTTATTATATGATGGATTTTTTTATAACAGTCATATTTTGGAGTATCTTATATTTAAAATTCTGTAGTAGTGACCTATGAGAAATTGTTGCACGAACCTGCCATGGCATGTTTTTAATTGGACAAGTAATGGATAATGTTGTGTATTGAGTTTATACGAAAATTTCTTACATTCACACTATAATAGGATTCATAATTACAATATTTATATTCTTTTAATTAAAGATGTATTCAAATAAATCATTCTTATGTCTAATGTAGCAACTTCATTATTTTTTTCAAAATTCACCTTACTTTTTTTTTCTCAATATAGCAACTTCTTTTAATTTTTTTCTTATTTTTAATTTAGTATCATATTAAAAAAATTCTCTTACATTCGTATAACTTCAAACTCATGCAACACACGGATTCGGTCTATATCAAGACATTTTATAACATAAAAAAATTTGAATATATGCCAAACCTAAATTCAATTTTGTTTAACATCAAAATATTTTTATTTAAATTATTTTTTGTAAATGTTATTACCCTATTATTTTTGTCATTTTTTTAAATTAAAAAATAGTGCAACTCACGGGATTAAATCTAGTTATCTTTAAAATTATATGCATGTTCTTTTTATGTTTAACCCTACTTCCTC